TAAGTTGGGAAACGAAGAATACCCCCCCCCCCCATTGCGTGACAACTTTTGGAAATAAATAATTTTGTGGCTTCTTTTTAAAATCACGTATATGGCTAGAACTTTTAACGAGAAATTTATTGGAGCATTTAAGACTCCTATACAACTAATTATTTCGGAGATAGACACGAAACAAAACTGAGCCTAATTCGGAAATTTCGGAACAATTGGGGAAAATATTAATTTCGTCGTTTCTTTCTGAAATCACTTAGCACACCCATCGAAGTGTTGTCCAACGGCGATCGCCCAAAGTTCTCGGAAATTATTGTTTCAGATCAGAAACGCGGGGTCAGCGATACTTTTCACACTAAAAGGTGAAAACGTCGACTGGCACTTCCCGCCACCGAGATAACTAAAGCAGAAATGCTATAGTTTTTGAGAACATCACGAGTCTCCTGGCGACGATTTGCCAAGATTACAAATTAGAGAACGGTAAATAGAAACACAAAAAAATATGTATTACATAAAAATCCTATCTCTACTTATGACAAGCATGACTCTCGAACAATTCTGTCCGAGAGGAGACAGACGATCAACGGATAAACGCTGCATCCGACCAACATTTGCAAAGGAAACCTTCCCGCCCGATGGGAGTGAGCCAGAGCGCCAATAGGAACCATGTGTACACCTACCAAAATGATACACCTGAACATGGTCAAACTGGCTGATACCCGACTCCTCGGCTGCGACGTCAGCAGCTGCCTCCAGTTGTACCCGCCTCGCCCAGCACGGCGCGGCGCGACCAAGTACGACCCCAACACGCAGACGACTGAACGCGGATCCTCGCTGCGCAGCCACGATGCAGCAAAGCAGAGAGTATGCAGCAAAGCGCCTTGCTTGTCGTCTCGGCCGCGGCGCCACATGCACTAGCCCCAGCCACGCACGGGATTCCCCGCGGCGAAGCTCTGCACGCGACGCGTCCTGCATCGCTCCCGTCCAGAGCTGCCAATCCCAGAATATAGGGAGATTGTGCCACCTCCAAATACTATAGAGAGTCTCTATAGTATTTGTCACCTCGAAAGTTAAAGCAATCGAAAGCACTATCCGTAATAATAAAGGATGAAATCGAGAAAGAACTTTTACCCGATTAGGACGAAACGTTTAAGTCGCAATGGAAGTAGTTCCAAATTGTGGTAACAGAGTCTGTTGCTACCGTGTAATTGTCATCAGCTGTTCTGTCCTGTTCAGTTCATATGACTTCATTTGGGAATTTTGTAAATTTCCATTACTTGTTTACATAATATTTGATAATAAATAAAATTAGTTTTACAATTTGCACCCAGATCTCACATATTTAACACTAGTATTCTTATATAAAACTAGTGGAGCCCGCAATGTTTCACTGTAGCAGTGTAATACACAACACACCCCATCGGTCACGAAAATGTTAATCATGTTTTTTTGCAAGGCTGTGAAAAATTCTAATTGATGAATGACTCTCTCACAAGTATGGGTTTGTCCTATGTCCTGGTTTGGACATGGTTGTCAAGTATCCTATTGTTAAACTGTTCTCTCTCAAATTTGTGCACGCTTTCGTAATGACACTATCTTGGAGACATTTACTTGACCGAGATTCAAGTAATAATTGGGGTCGATATTTTAACCGTTGGACCAGAATATTATCTGCGCACGTTTCCTTGAACCCTCGCTTCGCTAGATGCGAGAGGAGTGGGGAGTTTAGTTATTTTGACAAAAGGAATTTTACGTCAAATTTGCAGTTCATTTTTCCATGCAAAATAGTTTCTAATACACGGGAACGAACTTTTCTCGTTACCAGATTTTGTCTACAACGCTCGTTGCTATCGTTTATTCTTAATTCAACTAATGTTGGGAAAGGAGTGCAGGTACATATTCCGGGGCTCAAGAAAACTTACGGATGTAATACTTGTATAGTGAAGGCAGCTCAATCCTTGATTGTACGATAAGATGCGTACAGTTCGGGGGCGCTTAAGTCGTCATAAACGAGTAAATCGTCAACAACGCCCCGACATGTCCGAATAATTCAAAACACTCTTTAAACATTCTCATTACTAATAAAAAATAAAGTGTGAACATTTCAGCGAAATAGGTCACGTAGTTTTTGCGTTAATGTGCTACACACATACGCACATTCCCTTTTATTTACACACACACACACACACACACATATATATATATATATATATATATATATATATATATATATATATATATATATATATATGAGATAGCTGACGTCCAAAGGGCTGGAAGTGGCAGCCCATAAAACGGAAGCATTACTCATCACGAACAGACGATCCTGCCCCAACCCAACATTCCTAATAGGCAAGAAAAAATACAATGTCGCAAGAGCCTACGCTACCTAGGAATGGAAATTGACAGGAAGCTAAGTTTTGGACCACACGTTACCGAGACGACGGAAAAAGCATTAGGAATAGCAGCATCGCTTTCAAGATTGATGCCGAACACCAGGGGCCCCAGCGACAAGAAGAGACGACTTCTTATGAGTGTGATGCACACGACAATGCTCTATGCAGCCCCGATCTGGGCAGAATCTCTCCAAAACAAGAATTTTAGAAGAAAACTGCAGTCTGTCCAGAGGAAATGAGCTCTACGAATAACATCGGCGTACAGAGTTTACGACTACTCCCATGAGCAAGAAGGCAACGGAAGGCGAACGCACCAAGATACGGATAGCGCAATTAAAAAAGCTAAAGAAAACGTGATCCACCGCTGGCAGAAACGCTAGGACAGAGAGGAGACCGGCAGATAGACTCATAGGCTCATTCCGAATATATCCAAATGGATAAGCCGCAAACACGGGTCCGTGACATACCATTTAACTCAGGCATTCACAGGGCATGGATGTTTTAAGGTATACCTTAAAAGATTCAGAAAGACAGAAGACGCGGTATGCTTCTACAGCAGCCATGAGTGGACGACGCCGAACACACGCTGTTCCATGGCCCGAGATGGGACACGCTAAGGCATCGCATGATATGGGAGATCGGGTGTCACACCAGAAAACATGGTTAGACTAATGATCTGTAACAAGGAGAAGTGGACAGCAATAGACAAATATATCACCGCCATTCTCAAGAAGAAGACGAAAGAAACCAGTCATAGCTGAACCTGAATAGCACCTCGAAGTAATACACCTGGCACCATCCTGAAGTAATGCATAATTGTGGTTACAGGGTGGATAACGTCAGGAACATAAAGGGTTTGTGGTTTTAGTGAGTAAAAATCTCACTGTTGAGGAGTGCGGGCTCCTCTTCGTCTTTTGAAGATTTCCACAGTTTCCTTCGTAAAAAAGAAGATAGATAATAGATATGTAAAACAGAAATGAAGTATTACGAGGCGCGCGTTTTCTCGAGCCCCGGAATACCTACCCCCACACCCTTGGCCAACGTTAGTTGAATTAGGAATAAATGATAGCAACGAACGTTGTAGACAAAATCTGATAACCAGAATGTTCGCTCCCGTGTAATACGAACTATTTTGCATCGAAAAACGAACAACAAATGTGATGCAAAATTCCTTTCGTCAAATAACCCAACTTCCCACTCCTCTCGCAACTAGCGAAGCGAGAGCTCAAGAAAACCTGCGCGGATAATACATTGAGGACTTAAATGAGTTTAGGGGGTTTGTGTACGCCCTGGCGTCAGCACTATCCATCTTCTGCGCATGCGCACTTGCACTAAAGTCGTGCGAAACTTGAACTGCGCATGCGCAGAAGATCGATAGTGCTCAAAAGTTCGAGGTGGCACACGCCCTAATGTTCGAGGGTGCACATACTACAGTACCGGCACCGTATAAGCAACTCTGACAGTTCGATGCTGGGTTGCCGCATATGGCACAGTCTACGTGACAGATAAACGAAATCGTAAAACATTTAACACTTACCGACAGGCGATGACACGTCTTTATATCATGTCCATAACCTTCGTTACAGCCAAACCTTATCGCCTCCACGATTCCGTGCCAGTCAGATGAGCGGCAACACTGAACCCTGGCTGTAAACAAATCCTCGCAAGCTGATTGCTTCAGAGCAGGTCACACGACGTAGCACAGCACGTGGCGAGAGAACTGTAGGAACACGTTGTAGGAACACGCCGAAAAATTTTGAACTCTGGAATTTTTTAAAATTCAGAGAAATCAACGAAATTGAGACATACGCCATTTTCTAAGCGTACATTGCTCTATCCGATTTTTTTTAACTGAATCCTTTTTAGAAAAGAAATATAAATTTCCTTCATTTCAAGTAAAAATTACACAAAAGTACCAAATTGTCAAAAAACACCAAACAATAATTTAAATATAGTTTTTAGAAGAGATTTTATTAAGAAAAACTCTATCCTCAATATTTTCAATTTCAATTTGAAACAGACAATTATCGAAAATACAGGCAAGTGCCGTTTTTAGAAAATGTTTGAAAATTTACGGAAAAATCATGGGAAAATTACTGTTTTTCGAAAAATTGATATTATTTAAAGATCTGTATTTCAAGAACAGATTTCAAAAGGGGAAAAATTCTGGATGAATGTGGTTTAGTCAGCCAGCGTCAATTATTAGTTGACTATATTTGATTACGGTAGGTGACTATAGTTGACCCTGTGTTGACTACTGACTTCAAAAGCATATGCGAATGTTTTGGATCTACAAACGCGAAACAGAAGCATTGCCGTTTCAAATTTCCAGTTCCATGAGATATTACGTTACGTGACTGGTGGTGGGATTGAAGTGGAGGAATTTTTACAAATTCATAATTCTCATACATTTTATTGCCGATATGTTCAGTAAAAAGCGTTCATACAAACCGAAAACTGACTGACATAATTAGTTTCAAGCATGAAGACTGATTTCAAGTTGTTATAGGATATAGTGCCGGCTATAATGCATTTTCTCTGTAGAGCCATACAAATACCAACTTCCGCTGGAAATCGATATCAATGCAAACCGTCCCACAAGGTCTATATATTGAGGGAAACAATCGCTGGCCACGCGAAGGAAACAACGCGAAAGGGAAAGAGCCAACCGCTATGAACTATTCCTCATGACAATAATAATAGCATACACTTGTTCCATCAGTCACTAGCATTCACGAACCAATGAAGCTTTGGGTCATGCGAGGGAATTAATTTTTTTTCTCCCTCGATTGTACTATAATTCTATCATTAAAATATAAATCGTGAAACCTTACTTTATTTAGAGGTTTGTATGGGAATTTGTTTCTTATGATGATTCCACAGAGAATTGACTTTTCCTGCACTGAACAAAAACTGATACAACAATTTCATTCAAGGATTTAAATAACTCATTTTTTACTAGTCACAAGCATCATTTTATATTTTATGGATGATCACATTAAACATTTCCAACCCGTGTAATTACATATTTTCATAGGGGTTTAAGTATGTTAACATGACACCTCATCACACACTCCCTCCAAAGATAATTTCTTTTGCCATAAACATGTCAATTGAAGTAAATATTCTTCAAAAAGGATCCCACTAGGCTCTTCTTATAAGCCCCTTCAGACCTGCTGTACATGATATTTAAAGCATTGTGAAACCGTTACAAAAAAAAAAAAAAAAAAAAAAAAAAAAACTGGAATTCTTCACGAAATAAAAAAAAAAAAGAATGGAACAGAGAACAATTCAAGAACACAAAGTCAGTGAAGCATATTGATTTGAAAATTACAGACTTATTAAGAAGAATTAGAAATCATGGCATAAAGATGTAGAAAACGCAATGTGCTTATATTTCCATATGTTATGTACTCATAAAATACAGAAACATGAATACCATAGGTCAAATTATTTGCACCTTTCTTTCATTTGTGTTTATACTTGTCTTTATATCAGGAATCCAAAATCATATTTAATAAAATTTGGATTTCAGTAAACCCATTGTAATTTTAATAACTGCAGAAGTATTTACAATGCAAATTTACATACTCCATACACACAAACAGAAAATGTATTTCTTTTAATTTATCACTAGGTTTGCAACTAAGAGGTTGCCACTATTTTCTACATCAAAATCAAATTTAAATGCTCTCTCCAAGATATAAGTCATTATGTCTACAAACATTTCATACAAATGTTTATTTGTGTTAAATAAAGAATATTAATACTCAAAATAATTTATTGATTTGTGAAAAGTAAAAACTTTAGAATAGAAACATTAATAAATAAGAATGACAAAATAATATAACGAGAGAAGAAGTAATGCAACTCCATACACTCTAAAGCACTTTAAAATGTACAATCAGAATTTTAAACAATAGCTGAAACATGCAATTAAGTTTATTTACAAAAATATGTTTGGATGTTAGAAGGTTATTTAAAACTTCTTTTAACTCGCACATAGTGACAATGAATTTTAAGAAACAAGCATGTTTATTTGTGTCAAGCATTTCTCAACACAAGTATTAAACAAATTTATTATACCATGAGAAATTATAAATTCAGCAGTTGATGTATTGCTCATAAAAAAAACAGTTCTATTCAACTTATTAAAAATATTACTACAGAAGGAATTTCATAATAACTTCTTGTGTAGTATAAGCCTCTTTTTCATTCAACAATATACTGTTTTCTTTATATTCTTTAGTTTTTAAATAAAATTTTATATACAAATAGACAATTCCCAAAAAATAATTCATACTCCAACCTTACAAGACAAGGTAATTGCTTGATTTAAAAATTATGCAAATGAAAAAGCAATTTCTGGCTAAAGAGGCTTGATGCAAATTGTGATTGTATATTCAAGAGTGTATAACATGAGAAATGTCAATTTTTTGAAAGAATTAAAATCTTTTCACGGAAATATTAAATGATATTCCAAATTAATAAATGGAAATTTTGAAATAGGGTGTCTAAGACCCCAATACAACTGGCATTTCAATGGATATATTACGTTAAATAAAACGTCGATACACTAAATATGGGCATATGGGCAGTTTCTGACAATCTCCGTCGGAGCTTTCTAGTACATAGAGAAAGCACGGCTGGCCTTGCTTCAGAAGTCGGCACAGCTCACGTGGGGAAGCAGGTGGGAGTAACGAGACAGACCACGGGGTAACTTCAACACTATAATCATCTTTCATTTTAGAAGAAATGCCTCTTTTGTTCCTAATTTGTTACGTGCCCGAACAATGCGGTTACAACCACGCCAGGAAGTTTAAAAATTTCAAGCCATAAAAAATATTTACTTTGATAGATTTTAAAGCCATGTTAATGTATCATTTAATTAATTAGTCAGATTTTCTTTTTTCGTATTTTATCCTTAGATTACCCTTTTATAGTTTGGTTGAAAAATACGCTAGGCACCAATGAATTTAAAACATGACATTGCGAAGACAGATGACACCAATATCGACGCCACGGCTGGAGCCCCATAAAACATTTAAGGGCAATATTATTCTTGGTTTGCGTAATAAAACTCAAGCGTCCATTGTTGGTATGTTTACTGTGGTGAATGTCATAACATTTAGAAATTGCGTTCTACCGGTCACCCTCCACTAAAGCGAGAGGAGAGACTGACATACGTACACTCAAGGCAATACGGAACTTTAAAAACATTTTTTCCCAACAAATAAGTTTGAGGTTAGAAGACGACAGCTGTTTTCTACCCGGTACTCTAATTACAGTCCATTTTTTCCACAGAGTTCTTGATTCAATAACATGAATATACACAAGTAACCATGCTATATTCGAGCTGAACATTCGAATCTGCCACATCCATTATAAGTCGCCCCCGTCAATTCGTCTTACAGTCAAATCTAGCCTTACCTTCTTTTCTGGTTCCATGAGTGTCAAACTCGCTGTGACGTGCACCGTCGCTGATAGGGTGGGGATCCTTACATCCACGTCATTTCGTACCACCAAGAGCACTGTACGATTTAAAGGTCAGGAAAAAATGACAACAGCGAGCACGACCTGCCATCTTTCTACGCGAGCACCATCTGCCATCTACATGTATTTCTAGGTACTCTTTTCGCTTGCCCTGATATTTCATTCAGAAATTCCAAAAAAGTCGTATATCTCAAAGGCAGGGCCTGAACACATGAAAATTAATTCCTTGCATTCGAGCATGTTTAAAATGGAAATTGCAGAATGCCTCGAACTTCAATTCTTTTGTGTAAACTCTGATCTTAGAGTATTCATACCTACAACTAACTAGTGCTAATAGCACATTTTTAACTGCTTAAAAAAATATACTATTATTATTACTAATAATAATAATATAACCATTTCCTTTACCTACCAGCTTAAACCTAAAAATTAGCTTGAGAGTTTAAATTTTTACGTAAAAGAATAATTTAAAGAAAGGTCAGTATAATAGGTTCCCAGCATATAAAAGCAATACAATTTTTCTGCTTATAAATACATATATTCCCGTAAGTATTTCAAAATTTCATACAGGCTTTTAATTTATTACAAACAAATATACAACCTGAAAACAAATATTCTTTCTAAAAAACATTTTATTTATAATTATTTCGTAACATATTCTATATGGAACGTGGTAGCAATTTCCACAGAACATCATTACAAATGGCACAGAGTATATGTGCATTGGATTATGAAGCAATAATAGACCAAGAAATTTGAAGCCCAAATTTTGCAAACGGTTTTCACACAAGTTATTACATACACCACCCATCTTCAAGTCACTCCAAGAGGAGCAACAAGGGCAATGTCCCACACCGCAAGGATCTATCACTTGAGGAGGGGATAAAAGACAGAAGATAGGAAGGGAAAAAAAATATGCACCGAGTGTGTTGAAGTCAGTATATTGATCTTCTCTACCTCCTGCTGTTATCACTTAATTCACCAACTGAGGTTTCCAAGAAAGGCCAAGCTTCAATTTAATTGTGAACTACTCAATTACTGTTGTCTCCTGTTTCACCAAAAATTCCACAGTTTCTTCTTCAACATTCTTTGTATCTGAATCTAATTCATCAGTATCAATATCTGGAAAAATATCACGTATTTCATTAAAAGATATAATTCAATAATTATCAAAGAGGAAAGTTAGGTAGTGATCACATGTTCTTCAAAATAAAATAAAAATAACTTACTATTTCGAAGAGCCATTCTCTGAGTTTTCTGTTCCATCCATCGTTCAATCTGTTTAGCTCTATATTCTTGGAATTCTTTCATTAATTTTGAACGTTTTTCAATTAGTTCCTGAAGCAAATGTATGTATAAATTATTGTGTACAAACAAAGGCTTTACATGTACCCTTATACACATTCAGAAAAGATTAAGCAATAATAAAAACATATCATAATAATCAATATACACATTTCTCATATTAATAGCACTAATAACTTAGTTTTAATACATCATTTGTAGCTATTCAATTAGCACACTTGTGTAATTTAGGACTAAACTGTGTGCAATTATATTACAAAAAATCTTAAAATTTTCAGCAAAAGACTGTAAAATAATTAATATTGTACATACTCTAATATAACCCACACTCGAATATTACTCTCACCCTAATCTTCCGGTAAGGAATCTTGGAGGGAACAAAGAAAAATGACATTTTTACACTTTTATAGCAAAAATGTCTGTCCTCAAAAAGTCTGCCTATTAACACTGGTTAGAGTGTAATTTTTATAAAGCTGCGCCTCAAGGCCCTTCTTCCCAATAGCATTATGTCAGGCATTTCGAGTCTTTCTTAGCCATGCTGCTAAATGTCGTAACTGTACCAAGCGATTATTGATACTGTCATGATCATGCGACATCAAGCATCACAACCAAGAAAGATGCGAAATGCCGCACGACATTCCATCTTGAAGATGGGTTTTTTAACATGGTGCATCAGAGCCTAAGTACAACCCACGCCGTCATGTGACAAATGTAACATGCTTGAAGTTCGCAGTACCAACATTGACTAGAATATTACTCATTTCAACTAGCAATTTTTGAAAAAAATATTCGGTTTATATTCCAGTATATATACTACTCTCACTTGCATTGGACGCAACAAACTGTGAATTCTAAAAATCTTTCACATTATTTTCCTCCACAAAAATGTGACATACCCATCAAACACCTGAAATATTTACATATAGGGTGTACAAAATCATTACTACACGTAACAAGTCCATGCTATTAACTCAATTACCTTGGAGGCTTTTGACATTCGCATTCGATCTTTGCTTTCAAATTGAGTGCTGTATTTCTTCAAGTTCTTCTTGATCTCACTCTGTTGCTTGGCACTAAGTAGAGTAGGTAGACGAGGCCTCCATGACAATGTGCAGAAGCTATCAATATTAAATCTTTTCAGAATTTTGCCTTGAAAAGACCACAGCCAGTAGCCTGTATCAACCTACACAAATAAATCAGTATAATTAACAAATAATTTACATAATCTTAGTATTTATTGCATGTCATTATAGAAGAAACCAAATAAAAACTATCATTATGAAATTAATGCAGTAGCAAATAAACTGAATCAAAATCTTTTATCCTACCCATATATAAGAATTTTTTTTTTTAAACTTCATTTGTTCATCAGATGTTAATCTGATGTTGACATCGAAACACATTCAGAATACAGGTTCCAGATGTTCTAACAATTTTGTCGAACTACTTAATTTAATAATATTAATTGTAAAGTATAACAAGTGCACAAATCATGAAGAGCACAAGACTTCTCAAAATCAAACATCTACTCTTATATATTTGAGCGATTTTATTTAAAGGCTTAAAACATGCAATTTTGTATACCATTTCGTAGAATTTGTAATATATCAACACTAATAAATTTAATAGTATTTTATAACTGGTCAGTGCTTTAGATACCATTACTCATCTACATTCAAACTAAAGATGATTTGTTCATAAAATATTATTAATAAATATTTTTTTTAAACAGACTACAATTGTAATCCATGTGACCACTCACATTCCAATCTTGAACATGACCACTGAAGGGTTAAAAAATCATACATCACTTTTTTTTAACTGCTATTTTTTAGACAAGGTTTCATTGAAGATAAAAATCTCTATATTCAATACAGTAATACTTGCCATGTAAATTTTTTGCAATTTTGTAAAAGGAAGATAGTCTCACATGGATGGACATTTTGTTGTCAACTGATTTTTTGGTATCGACTACCTACACAACATGGATTCTAACTAAACAATGTTTTAAACCAAGGAATTTACTGCATTTAGGATCCCAGCTAATGGGGATAAGGTGTACAAGAAGAAGAATTTCCTGCATTTACAAAAAGATCAATCCACTTTTTCCTTATCACGGTCCAGCAGCAAGTATTTTTCTGTCGTAAAATCACTGATGTCAGGCGTACAATTACAACACTTTCTCTTCTTAAGAGAAGTGAGAAAGTAAAAAATTAACAACAATTAAAACAAAATTTTAAAAGAAATCATATTATAGTATTTAAACCTTAAACTATGAGAATACAATCACATTACTAATTTTTATATTCTGATGCAACAGATTTTTTTATTTCAATTTTAGGTGTTGTCGGATTTTCTTCTGTTCTTTTATAGTTTGAACATTCAAGAATATTTTTGAGATTGCAAATTCAAATCTGCCATAAAAATGTTAGAATTAGAGTCAAAATTTTAACATTTGTATTAAGTTTTTATATGACTGGAGGACAGGTTATTTTTGGAATATCAAGCATGAATTACTTCCCAAATTTTTTTTCTTCGTGGACATGACAATGCTACCTTATCAGGTGACACACACAAAAAATGAAATAAATTTATTTATGCCACAACACTGGATTTGTGTCTTTTGTGAATGTTATTGAGCTCTTATACAGAATTATGTTAAAAATGTCATACTTTAGAGTGCAGGAATGTAGCAAACAAATTAAGTTTCATAAAAATACTTCCTAATAAACCTTCTCACAAGTAATAAAAAGAAATTGAAAAACATAACCTTAGAAAATTAAAATTTCTTATGATATAGCAATTGCCCAAAGTACACATTACTAATGTTAATCCAGCCAACCCAGTATATGACAAAAATGGTTTTGAAAATTTCCATGAAGACTGTTACAATCTTTTACACAACATGAAAATAACATCTGTTTTATGCAGACACAATGTTTTATGTTCACAGAGTAACCTAGTTTACTACACTAAAATAATCATCATTTACTAATTGTTCAATACCTTTACTTTCCAATACGAAACAGCAGTCACTACATAGCGACCAGTTGGGTCCCAAGAGAGTATTGAGGCACTGTAATGTTCAGTGGAATTCATGATCACAAAATCATTTGTGTCAACGAATTCCAAAGCGCCACCCATATTTCTCATGCCAGCCAGCACAATGAACTGCCCAGATGGTGCCCAATGCAGAGAGTTGCAGACCTTCTTCTCAAATCGTTCTGGAAAAGCAAAAAAGGCTTATGAAAATTTCAGCATTTTGTAAATATGTTCGAGTACAAGGTATCTAAAATCTTTAGTAATATGAAGTAAGATTGCTGAAATCTTAATTTAAGAATTCCCCATCCACATATTTTACATATTAGGAGCAAAGATATGGTAGAATACTGAACACATTTCAAATAATAAAACAAGAAAATTTGAACATTAACACATTCATTTCAAACAATGCATGCCCAAGACCTACACTCTTTCTTCCTCTAGCAAACAATTACACCTATGTTCTACAAAAATATATATAAAGCATAGGAGGTTCTACAGTATTGTAGAACAATGAAGAGAGAGAGAGAAAAAAGAAAATATCAGGAGAAGAAGAAGAAGAAGAAGAAGAAGAAGGAGAAGAAGAAGGAGAAAAAGAAGGAGAAGAAGAAGGAGAAGAAGAAGGAGAAAAAGAAGGAGAAGAAGAAGGAGAAGAAGAAGGAGAAGAAGAAGGAGAAGAAGGAGAAGGAGAAGAAGAAAAAAAGTAGTTAATTGTTGTTGGTTTTTTTTCACAAAATTAAATTGAATCCCCAAAGCATGTAGGTGACATTGTTGTCATGCACGAACAAATGGAAAGCACAGAACCAAGCAAGAAAATCTGTTAAGAGTGGAAAGGGGGGTAAAAAATATCCAAACACACCAGATAATCAGTTCGTATTATAGAGTGTTTAAATAAAATTTAATAGTCATAGATTTATTTACAAAAGCTAAAGCTCATTGTCTTTCACGTTAATTTCAAACTAATATTCTCATCACCACAACATTTACAAAAAAATTATTACAGGTAACATTAAAAAATGTAACAATATTGAAGTATGAAAATTCTCCTTTAAACCTGAAAATTCAAGATTTTAAACAATTTTACAAACCATTCTCACATTCACATCTAAAACAACACATTCTACAGAAAAATCTTCCTGAAGTTTGGAAATGTGTGTAAAGATTACATTGAAAATCATTTCTTTTGGAACATACTTTCACTTCCTTTCAATATTATGCTTTAAAATTTAATGTCATCTTCACAAAATTAACTAGCTACTTCATTATGAATTTTGGCCTGACCGACACCACCATTAAAACACACTTTTCTATTTCACTGAAACAAAGTCATAGTCAATTGCTCAGTAAAGATACAGCATTTCAAAGAATTTCAACTCGCATCTTCTCATACCTGCACGAATACAATCACAAAAAAAGTTCACTACTGGCACGCTAACAAAATATGATTCCCTGTAGTTTCTATTTCTAAGAGTTTTTCTCTAGTGTAATTCCTATTACAATTAAATGTCAAATCCTCCAATGCTCAGCAAAGATTAAACCAATAATATTCTTTCATGGAAATTTAAATCAAATGTGTTCATCACTGCATGTGGATATTTACAAAAAATTTCGCTCCTTGCCAACTTTGAAACAATTTTCTTTCACATACATCTCTCATCGCTTTCACATGCAAGACTTCAGTCAATTTAAACAAACTTTCATGCATTTAGTTCTAAATCATTCCAGAAAAAGTATAAAATAAATAACTTTTCCTCGTGTTCAGAAATAACAAAACGGATTATACTGAAAAATATAGTTGGCAAAAGTCTTCCATTCCCTTACAAGATAGTGATTTAAATATTTTCATTTCACATTCAGAAAATTAATTAGCAAATTGTATTCTAGGTCAATATTTTACCAAGACATTTAAAAACCACAATTCAACCAAGTCATTTGCTATAAAAACTGCTTAATCTACTTAAAGATTTTACAAAAGAAACAAATTTTATTGTGGCAACCAACAACATGGTAGGAACAGGAAATTTTCTTGCCAAATATTAGGTGCTAATGAACTATATACCTTAGGGAGATGACCTAAAATTTGTCAAATATGAATTTTTTAAAAAAATGATTGAGACATGATTGATAGCAAACGCCTCCTCACAGATATCCTCTGATTCTTGGTAAATATTAAGAAAATAGCATATCTCCAGAATATACTCGAATAATCCCTGTCCTATTTCTACCACATGTAATTTTTTTTCCATGGTGAAAGATCAAGCTTAAAGTTCACAGTATTATGCATGCACATTTTCTAAAGCCCTCATTTCCCTAGATACGAGAGGAGTTTAGAGGTTGGTTCTTTTGACTGTATTTCATTTTTTGATGAAAAATAGCTTCAATTACACGGAAGCCAACACATCTGATTGTTAGATTTTGTCGAGGCTTGTTGCTATCATTTATTCTTGATTCAATTCATGTTAGTAAAGAAGTAGGGGTGGGTACACCTGGGCTCTAGAAAATTTGCATAAACAATACTAACCTTGACTTCAATAATATCTGCACCTCACTTTTCAACTACCAATGTTTGAAAAAGTCACACAGGATTATTTGAGTAATCATGGTATTTTGTAATAGGAATTTATCTAAACTTTATCACTACCAAGAGAATGTTAAAAAAGCAGCTAAATAACAAAAGTAGATGTTACTTAGTTTTATTGAATGCATTTCCTGTATTAATTTAATTAAGAAAAAGTTTTCACACCCTTTAGAATTCAGTGAAAATGATAATCGTAATTAACAGTGTTTGAGAAAATCAGTGATATTAAATTTCCTGTAAATGAAGATTCAACTTAACTGGTCCATTTTTGATCATTTTTTACTACAGTTTATTTTGGAAAATTAAGGCCGAAATAGATATGCAAATGGAACTGTTTCTGAACTTCAACAAAATGTATTTATAATGCACTAGTATGGTTGTTATATATAGTTCATTGCATTTCCCCCAATATTTTGTAACATTGTTATTTTCTGTAAGAATATAAATTTACATATTGTTTTTCTATGAATTCTATTCTCTCTACTTATGATCAAATGATTATAAAATACATACAGTTAAAGAGAAAAGACAATACAACGTTTTATAAATTTCAAACTGATGAGTTTTTGTTTTACATGATTTTGAATAATAGATTTATTTTCTTGGACACTGGAGTTAACTACGTGTGATTTCCCTCAGAATCGAATACGTTAATCTTGGCTGAGTTTTTGAAGATGGTTTTTCAATTTCAGTGAAATATATAACATGAAATAAATGTATTTTCAATGTTAGGAAGTTATCTCAATGGAAATTATGTTTTTAAGTTTCAGTAGGGGATATATTTCCCAATACAATGAAAAGCAAAGTCATCAATTACTCAACAAAGATTAAGCCAATTATAATATTTCATGGAAATTTCAAAGAAATCTTCTCATCACTGCAAGAGGACAAAACAAAAATTTTGAACCTCTCAAACATAAGGAAAAGATATTCCTATGTATTTATTAGAGTATATTTCCTAATACTATTAAAAGCAAAATGCTTAGCACAGATTAAGCCAATTATGCTCTCTCATTCAAATTCCAGTGTACTTTAAAGAATATGATTCTTAATACAATGAAAAGAAAGTCCTCAAACGCTCAGCAAAGATTAAGCCAATTATAATATATCATGGAAAATTCATTGAAACGTTTCATCACTGCAAGAGGACGTTACAAAAATTTTCAACATCGAAACAATTCCCATGTACTTTTTAGAGAATATTTCTTAATAAAATTAAAAGCAAAGTCCTCAAATACTCAACAAAGATTAAGCTAATTATACTCTCTCATTCAAATTCCTGTGTACTTTATAGAGTGATTCTTAATATAATGAAAAGAAAGTCCTCAAATGCCCAACAAAGATTAACCCAATTATAATCTTTCATGGAAATTTCAGAGAAATCTTTTTATCACTGCAAGAGGACAAAACAAAAATTTTCACCATCCCAAACATTAGGAAAAGATATTCCTATGTATTTATTAGAGAATATTTCCTAAAACTATTAAAAGCAAAGTCCCCAAATGCTTTGCAAAGATTAAGCCAATTATGCTCTTTCATTCAAATTCATGTGTACTTTATAGAATATGATTCGCAATACAATGAAAACGTCTACAAATGCTCAGTAAACATTAAGCCTATTATAATCTTCAGAATATTTCCGGGAAAGAAAGAAAGAAAAAGAAATACAAAACAAAAAAATAACAGTATTCAAATACTGAACAATGATTAAGTTAATCTTAATCTCTCATTCAAATTCCCGTGTAATTTATAGAGTATGATATGTAATACAATGTTAAGAAAGTCCTAAATGCTCAGCAAATATTAAGCCTATCTTTCATTCAAATTCCCGTGCAGAATATAGAGTATGATTCATAATACAATGAAAAGAAATCCTCAAAAGCTCAGCAAAGATTAAGCCAATGATAATCTTTCATGGATATTTCAGTTAAATCTTCTCATCACAGCAAGAGGACATTACATATTTTCAACATCCCAAACCTAAAGAAATGAAATTCGCATGCACTTTTTAGAGAATATTTCTTCATAAAATTAATAGTAAAGTCCTCAAAGACTCAACAAAGATTAAGCTAATTATACTCTCTCATTCAAATTCCCGTGTACTTTATAGAGTGTAATTCTTAATACAATGAAAAGAAAGTCCTCAAATGCTCAGCAAAGATTAAGCCAATGATAATCTTTCATGGATATTTCAGAGAAATCTTCTCATCACTGCAAGAGGACAAAACAAAAATTTTCAACATCCCAAACATTAGGAAAAGATATTCCTATGTATTTATTAGAGTATATTTCCTAATAGTATTGAAAGCAAAGTCCTCCAATGCTTAGCAAAGATTAAGTCAATTATGCTCTCTCATTCAAATTCCTGTGTACTTCATAGAATATGATTCGTAATACAATGAAAAGAAAGTCCTCAAATGCGTAGCAGAGATTAAGCCTATTATAATCTTTCATAGAAATTTCAATTAAATCTTCTCATCACAGCAAAACGACATTACAAATATTCCTGTGTACTTTTTAGAGTATGTTTCCTGATACAATTAAAAAAAGTCCTCAAATGCTAAGTAAACATTAAGTCTATTATAATTTCAGTATATTTCCGAA